GCCGGTACTTTGACAACACAGGGTGGAGAGGCTGGAATAACAACAGGAGGCTGTAGGCAGCAGAGGGTCATGGAGGGGGGGTGTAGCTGGGAGACACTACGTTCTGTCTCACTGTCACTGGGGTTATCAGACAATGTGGGGAAATCTTAGCTAATGCAGCTTTATTAATGAAAATAACTGTTCTTTACAGACTGATAGTCTTAACCTAACAACATGTGGGACACAGGAGGTGTCAAAGTCCAGTGCTCTGTGTTGCTGCTTGAACAGATTTCATTCCCTGAATACTGAGATGAATAAATATCCATACAGGCTTCACTGCAGAACTCTGATAACAATACTTTTTTCATATTACTTTAAGCAACGCAAACATGCTTTTTTCAATCTGTAATTAAATAGTCGAAACTAAAGAATAAGTAACTTGCTTTTTCCAGAGTATTCAACACACCCTGAGTTCCCCATGTGGGAAAAACAGTAAGTGAACCTGGAGTAGAGAATATTTTGTGCTCCCAAGGTCAAAAATGAATATACATACAATTTTTCTTCATCCAATCACGTTGTCTCAACACAAGCAGACATGAGAACAAGAACGCTGCCTAAACTGAAGTACAGTCTGTAATTTTAAAAAGGTGAAGAGCTACCTGACAAAAATAAGAGGACTAGGAATCAGACTATGCTCAAATAGCAGTCAGGCCCAGTACCCAGCCCAGAGTACGCCAGAATGAGGTTTTTAAATGAAATGAACCATTTCTGTTTTGTGTCTGCAGGTTATTGTTGCTTGTGCAAATTTTCATTTGGTTTGACTTGAAATATTTCTATTTCAATGCCAAAACTAATCCCAGTTCTCAGTGTTTCAGGGAGGAAAGTCCTCTGGCTCTACTACAACTATCACAGGACACTTAAACTCTTCAGTGGAGCCAAGATTATTGTTGACAGGGAATGAATTACAGTCACTACAGAGCGCAGGGTGACTATCTGTTTCACCGCTGAATGGGAACCCTTCAGATCAACAAATAAACAAAGGAGCTGAGGCAGACCAGCCATCCTCCTGTCAGCAGCATCTGTCAGCAGCAGGGAGGACGTTTAGGTTTTCTCCCGCCTCGTCTAATCCCACATCCACGAATAAAACCCCACAAACTCCTTCTGGATGTCTGCCATCTGTTTCTTTATTTCCCCGTCTTTCAGCCCATGTCCAGTTCCTCCCTCTCTATCAAACATGTCCCACCTGACCTCTCCACCCATCCCTCCATCTTCCTCCATCTTTGTCTCTCCTGAAGATGTCTTATTTAAAGCCAGCATTTCACAAGTAGGAACATTCCTGTTATCCCCTAAATGACTAGAAAACATCAGAGGGGCTCGTTAACCCTCAGCAGTCCAACCTGTCAACCAGTATTATGTCCTTTTCAAAAAGATTTTGACCCACATTCTGAGAACTGATTCATTTGGACATCACGGGTCTTTCCTAAGCAAAATAAGCAAACAAAGCCTCTGCAGATGCAACAAAAGGAGACTTCACAGATGTGCCTTCTTATCCCTTCATGCCTTTGTTGATTTGCAGCTGCCTATGAAACAGTTGCTTTCTCTTTGAATCTCAAGCAAAAAGCAGGACTGGATTTAATGGTTCCAAAAGGGGGAGGAGGAGGATGGAGATGGAGGACACACTGCTGCTGCTGCCATCTCCCTCCTCCTCCTCCTCCTCCTCTCTTCATCTCCTCTCAAACTGAAAAAAAAAAACACACACAAAACCCACATCTCTGTACATCAGCATGGTAAATATCAGCAGACTGAGAACAATGACACCAGCTGGGCAGCAACAATAAATACCAAGTGGCAGGCAGGCAGTCATCCCTCCATCCATCCATCCATTTCAACATCCCCGCTGTGTTGCTGCTGTACAGGCTTCTATGTGGCTTTCACGCCTGCATCTCGCTGACAGTGAATGTCACAAATGTTTAGTAGTTTCTCCCTTTTATTTTCATTTTCCCCATTTTAAAACGACATGATTTAATCATAAAACCTTCACTGTGCAGCCCATGCAGCTGTAGGTGTGAGTAGCTGCTGTGTTTGTTGTTGGTGTTTTATGACTGGCCTCCAGACAATAAAGCTTCTTACCTTCTCGGCTCCTCTGTGTTTCTTGGCGGCCGGTGTGTCGTCATGCTGCCGCCTGACAACAATAGCGCCACCGCCGCCTTTAACTCCACAATCCAGAGCGCTCTTACTGGCAGCGCCCCCGC